GGGATCGAGCCCCACATCGGGCTCCCTGCTCCGCAGGAAGCCTGCTTCTCCCTCTCCCACTCCCCCTGCTTGTGTTCCCTCTCTCGCTGTATTTCTGTCAAATAAATAAATAAAATCTTAAAAAAAATAAAAGAGCTATATAAAACAATAACTCTAAAACTGTATTGTTGGGTATATAATATATAAATATTTAGTTTATATAAATACAAGAGCCCAGGGGCGCCTGGATGACTCAGCTGGCTAAGGCTCTGACTCATGGTTTCAGCTCTGGCCATGATCTCAAAGGTTGTAGGACTGAGCCCCATATCTGGCTCTGTGCTCAGTATGGAGTCTGCTCAAGATTCCCTCTCCCTCTTCCTCCCCCTCCCCCTTCTCTCTCTCTCCAAATAAATAAAATCTTTAAAAAAGCCCAAAAAACAAGAGCCCAAGTACAGAAGAGGGGGAATGGAATTATACCGGAACAAAGTTTCTGTATTTTACTGAAATTAATTTAGTTTGTATTTGAAGTAGACTGCATGTAGATAATAATAAGTACAATAATTTGTAATAAATTAAGATATATATTTAATCCCAAAAGCAAAGAAAATGACTTCTAAAATTTAATAAAAATTTCAACAATATCAGCAATAAAAAGGAACAAACCAATGATACATATCACAACATGAATTAACCTTGAAAATACTATGCCAAGTAAAAGCAGCGAGAGCAAAAGACCACATACTGTATGATTCTATTTATATGAAACATTCAGAAAAGGCAAATTTATAGAGGCAGACAGTAGATATTTGGTCACCTGGGACTTGGAGTAGGAATGGGGATTGACAGCACACGGGACCAAGAGATCTCTTTGCGGTAATAAAAATGGTCTATACCTGGATTTTGGTGATAGTTGCACAACTCTGTAAATTTACTAAAAAGCACTGAATTTGTACACTTAATTTAAGGGTGAAATTTATCATATGTAAATTATACCTCAATAAATCTGTTTAAAAGTATGAATTGGTGATTCGAGAAATAATTACAGATCTTTTATAAGCTAAAGTAATTGTCATTCAATTGTCAACACCTTCATTTTATACACATGAAGATACCTCCTGTGCCAGGCTTTGTGCAAAGTGTTAGATTCAGAGATAACAGGACACAATTTCTACCCCTGTGGTATTTATAAGAAGGAAAGAGACATGGAAATTGACAATTAATAGCAATATAGTACTGTTATTATACTGAGTGCTGAAAATTTAAGGAACAACTAACTAAAGGGTGGTGGTCCAGGAAAGGACAGTATGACTACCACTAAGTGGCAAAATACTCAGTTAAAGGATTCTAATTCCCAGCCCGTCTTGTAGTTAGGTGTGGCTATGAAATTACTTCTGCTCAATAAGATATAATTGAAATATTGTGTAGGTCTTCTGCTAAAGGCTACTTAAGGGAAACAGTGTTATCCGGCAGAGGTGCCCTGCCCTCTTCCCTTACTCCTTCCTTTTTGCTATCTAGAATTAGGACATGATGATTGGAACTCATCAGCTTTCTTTTCCATGAAGTAACCTTGAGAATGGAAGTCTCATATCAAAGATGGTAGAAAGAGCCCGGATCCCTTGATGATTTCATGTAACAACCAGGTCAGGCCTGGACTACCTACCTCTGTACTTCTTTTATATGAGAGACTAAACCCTGTATTTCTAAACCAGTTATTTTAGAATGTCGTAGCCAAACCTAATCCTATTTAATTGGGGGAGAGATACTGAAGATTTCAAAAGAATGTGTCATTTGATCTGTTTTGAAGGATGACAGGAAGTCTACAGAAGGAGAAGGGGAAGGAAAGGGCGTTCATGAGATTATGCCATGAGAGAGCAAGGCACAGAGAATGTCGAGCAGTTCTGAAAGGTTGGAGCACAGAAGCTGAGGGAAAACATGGCAGGGATATTATCATCCCGGACCCATTTCTCAATTGTGTCAGGTCAGGACATGGCTACAGGGCATTTTATGATCCCAGAGCTCTCTGAACTTCTCTATTATAAATATTTATTGCAGCTGTAATTTGCTTACCCAATTATTTTCTTCCTGCTACATCTGAAGCACCATGAGGTCAAGGGACCATATCTGTTTTATTCACTACTAAATTTCTAGAAAAGGGACTGGTATAAAGCAGAGTGCTCACTAAATATTTGTTGACTAGTCAAGATGAATGAATTAATGGGTAAATAAAAAGAAACCTTTTATTGGAATTCAATAGCTTAATATCACATTAACTTCTTACCAAATTTTAAAAAACGCAGTTTTAGTGGGGTTTTTTTCTTAATTATATCACTATGATGATACATAAGGAAGGCCAGTTTTTACAGCAGCTGTCTACTTCTTTATACTGTCTGCCAAATGTAATCAAACTGCACATCAGATTTCCACATTTTACAGTTCTGTATATATCATTTCATCTCAGAAAATGTTTCAATTTAAAGGTGAAATGGAGGAGAACTCTGATTTCTAGGATCTGCCAAGAGGATCTCAATATCAAAAAGGTTTCCACAGTTAACAGAAAGATCTTTTCATGCAAAACCTCAATAATCACCTCTTGTGCCTGCCTGTAAATGATATGCTCATCTGCAAAATGTCACATTCTAACCACTAGAGCATTCAGCCCATTGAAATAGCTTTAAGAAAATGGCTTTTTTGCTAATCAAAAACACAACAAAATTGTCTCTCAAGTCAAATGCTTGCAAAAAATACAAAATTTCTTCTCAAGGGTTTTTTTTTTTTAAGGGCAAACAAATTTCAGAGGGAATCTCCCTTAATATAGAATCCAATTATTCATTAAACCTTACAAGTACTTGGGACTTACCTTGTGTCATTCTGGGCTCTTAAAAGAGCTGTTCTTAGTGGGGAAACAGTTTTACATAAGAATGACCATAATAAAAGTGCTATATTAAAACAAATTGTTTAAGGGGCACCTGGGGCTCAGTCATTAAGCATCTGCCTTTGACTCAGGTCATGATCTCAGGGTCCTGGGATCGAGCCCTGCATCAGGCTCCCTGCTCGGCAGAAAGCCTGCTTCTCCCTCTCCCGCTCCCCACTTGTGTTCCCTCTCTCACTGTGTCTCTCTCTGTCAAATAAATAAAATCTTTAAAAATAAATACACAAAAAACCAAAGCAATTAAAACAGAGCAAGGATTAAGAAAAGCTTTCACAGTGTAGCAGTTTTATAGCTTAAAAGGATAGTGCAAGAGTTAACAATTACCATTTTGCAGATAAACAGAATCAAAGAAATTAAATAATTTGTTCAAAATCCCATAGATAGCCAATGGGAAGCCAGGGACTAAAATCTGGGTCTTTAGATCCCATGTCCAATCCTTTCTATAACATCATGCTAATTTCACAATCTAGATATGATACCTAAAATGGGTGTAATTTCAAAATAGCTTTTTCCTGCCTTCACACTTTATAATCCAGCAGATTTTATCTTCTTTGAGTTCCCCTGAACATGCCATACTCTCTTGCCTCTGAGTCTTTCCACATGCTGTTCTCTGTGCCTGAAATACTACCCTTCTCCATCATTCAGAGGTTCTCCCTAATCTACCTTATCTCTTAATCTGGATCATTCCTACTCTCCTTTTCAGGGCTCTATTAGATGGCTCCTTCACCGGGAAGCTTCTGTAGTATTTATCACACTCCAAAGTAATTATATCACATTTCCAACTCCTGCCAAGCCCATGAAAGCAGAGATTTGTCTTGTCAGAGTTTCATTTCTACTACCTAGCACAAAGTCAGGCACACAGTATGTGCTTGGAAACTATTTGCTGAACAAATTGACTGCGTACCACAGTTTCACGACCACATAATACAATGACCTTAAATTATCACACACCTCTGAAGCAAAATTATAATTTGATGGAAATGGATTGCTACATGCAGACTTGCTATATAACATCCCCAGTTACAAGAAATGGTCATCAGGCATTTCTAGACAGGCTATAAATCAGCATCCTCAGAGCCCCTCTTTAATGGTTACTTACAGGAGACTAGATTTGCAATACAAATATATATATATATATATATATATATAAAATGCACCAGATTTTATCTTCTTAGGAGAGGCCTGTAATATAGTATAAAAGTACCAGTGCTACTTTTCAAAAGTACAACTGCCATATTACCTAACACACCCAGCTGTAGAGAGCTGGTTGGAAGAGGTCTACAGTCATGGCGTCTAATACCTTTATTTACTTTTTTGTAGAAGAAAAAAACTGAGGCACAGAGAAATGAAGGGACTACCCTAGAAATACATGGTGAGTCAGGGTCATGGACTGGGTCCTTAACAAAACCCAGGTCTCTAACTTTAGACTGGAGGCTTTCTACTATCTCTCTTTGACATCATTCTCTGGATGGACAGATGAACAGACAACTGGATGGGAAGACAAACAAATAAGCAAGTTAGCTATATGAAAACAGTCCCAGTAAAGCTCCTCTTCCCCTTTTGCTGGTCATAAGTCTTAGGTGGCATTTTAGATTGATCTGTCATGAGACACAGGATACTAAGGAAATGTAAAGAAATAAAGGTATTCATTGAAGAACCTATTCAAAGTGCTCTACCAGAATGTTAGTTCCCTGAAAAACTCATGAAGCCCATTAGATCAGCAATTCTCAGCAGCAAGTTTATAGCACATAAAGTTATCATCTTTCCTAGGGAAGCAACATGTGCAAAATGCTACCTGGAAAACTTCATGTAATGGTTAAGAACATAGGTTTTTAAGTCATGGCACCTGTGAAGCCTTAGATAGCAAACTTAATTTCAGTTTCCTCTTGTGTAGTGTAGAAATACTAGTGTTAATTACATCCTAGGATTGTTGGGAGGACAAAATGAGACAATATATGTTTTGCCAGAGTACATGTAAATACTCAACAAATGGTGACTTTATCATTACTGCATCTAGGGAAACATCCTCATCATGTGCAGTTTTCAATGGCTTGGACCCACAATATCTACAGGGACACCCAGGCCTTTGGACTGTGCTCTTCCTGAGTTTAAGGTTTTAAAAGGGTAATTAGAGAGCCTCAAAAGACTAAGAGGAGTACTAATTTCACCTTGAGGCTATCTGCTACAAGAAGGCAATCATCTCCTCATTTACAACATGGAAATACTACCATTTAATCGAAAGAACTGCTGTGAAGATGAATAGGGAGCCATGAAAGATCAAAGTAACAAAGTGACATATCATAATTGCGTTTTAAAATATTTTGTACCCCTGAAACAAATAATACATTATATGTTAATAAAAAAATAAAATGATATTTCATGAGAAGATGGAGGATGAACTGGCAGAAAAGAAACAAGGTTTCCACTAGAACGGAAGAATAGAAATACAAAAGAAAGAACACAAATTATTTTGAGTCATAACTGATAGTATTTAGAAACTTTCTGTATGCACGGCTCAATGAGGGGAAAGTAAGGGGTTTCTAGGTAAGCACTGAAAGATGGCATTCATTTTTTTTTTTAAGATTCATTTAAAATTTGTGAGAGAGAGAGAGAGCGAGCACAAGCCAGGGGGCAGGGGAGAGGGGCAGAGGGAAAGGGAGAAGCAGACTCCCTGCTGAGCAGGAAGCTCAACACAGGGCTCGATCCCAGAACCCTGGGATCATGACCTGAGTGGAGGGCAGACCCTTAATTGACCGAGGCACCCAGGCGCACCTATATGGCCTTCATTTTTGAACAAGCAGAGGCAAAGATGTCCAGTGAACAACTGGGAAACAATATGATCTGAGATGATGACTGCTGTGAACTAACTACACACCAACCATTAGTTCATTTGCTTAGAGGTCAGCGGTAGTCCAACAAGGGTATAAAAGCAGTAATGAATGAAGGAACATGGAGGGAGAGTAATAGGACAGCAGAATACGCTGTCAGATATAATTCAGAGCCAAGTAGGCTCCTAGAAAGCATGTCTTTAAAACGTTCTCAGTCGCTAAAGCAGCAAGCCTGCTTGGCTCCCAATATGCTTGCTTGGTTTTTTTTTTTTCTTTTTTAGATTTTTATTTATTTGACAGAGAGAGAGACAGCGAGAGAGGGAACACAAGCAGGGGGAGTGGGAGAGGGAGAAGCAGGCTTCCTGCGGAGCAGGGAGCTCGATGTGGGGCTGGATCCCAGGACCCTGGGATCATGACCTGAGCCAAAGGCAGACGCTTAACGACTGAGCCACCCAGGCGCCCCTGCTTTCTTCCTTCTGTCAACAAACTTTCAATGGGTATTTATGTTATACCAGGCCCAGTACCAACATTATTATGGTACATGCCCTGAAGGACCTTGGAGCTAGCAGAGAAGGGAAATGTAAAGAGTCCGATTAGGACACTCACATGCTTTGGTAGAGACAAGCACAGGTATCTAAAGAACCTAACTCCATGTACCCCCTTCTCCAGTACGTCTTCCCTAAATATTATTATTAGCTAAAATTTATGAAATGCTTCCTATGAGCCAGGCCTTTTTCTTAGAGCTTTACATATGTTAACTCTTTTACTTTTCACAACAACCCTGTGAAGTAGGTACTATTATTTCCTTTTTACCAGTGGGGAAACTGAACAGGCTAGCCTATGATGAACTCTCTCCCCTGAGCTCCCACAGTCCTCACAAAGCATTTTATATCCTCACACAGTACTTTGTATCATCAGCTTTTAAAAAATACTCCTTGAGGATAAAACCATAATTTATTCATATCTTTATTTCCCAAACAGCTCAGCACAGGAGCAAGTATACACTACAGGTATTCAGTATTTGCTGAGCATCAAAATGATTATCCACTGTCCAAGTTTTACATCAGATCCTAAAAAAAGCAATAATTTCTTATTCATTCAGCAAGTCCATAATAAGTATTCAGTCTGAGCCAATTACTGGCGCCACGTATAACCTAAATAGAAATAAACCAGACATAGAGCCTAACATCAAGTTTATTGTGGCAACCACTAACGTCATCTATTGTTTAAGATGAGCTCTATTTTCTTTAGATATTAGAGCCAGAGATACATGTGTGTCTTCTGAGAATAAACTATAGTTGAAAGAATAAATGAGTGAATGACAGACATTCTGAACCTTGAACCAGACCTTGCTCTGGCCACTAGGAAGCTCAGAGTTGAATCTGCTACTGAATTTTAGCAAAAGTAGGAATTTCTGGTACTAAATTTACCTTGGCTTCATTTATTCTGCTTTCCTTATTTTCCCCTTCATTGTGAATCTCTTTATTTACTTCTGATTCTATTATATTATGCATATTTGAAAAACTAATTCCCTTTAGGGGTAAAAAAAAAAAAAAAGAGAGAGAGAGAGAGATGGGCATATAGAATTTAATCAGTCAAACTGCAGATGGTGTGATCAGTCTCCTTACTTTGTCCAGATGCTCTGCTGAAGATCTGGATACAAACCAGGCAGAATGTGCAAGTTAGGAATGTAGATCTCAACTGTTCTGCCTCTGAGCTCTAATAAAGGGATGGGGTCTCTGCTGAGGGAACTATACTGCTTCAGAGAAAGCCCCCCCACTTTTAAGTTTTAAACCCCCTCATTTACGGCTAGGGAGGTTCTGGGACTAGACCATGTTGAACTAGGCACTGACCTCTGTCTCTGACCTACCAGTAGCAAGTCTCTTAGAATCTGTTTTCTTATCTATTCCTGTCTACCTACTTCTCAAGGCTGTTCTGAATCAGGTATGAAAACATTTACTTAACTACAGAGTAGTACACAAACATAAGGTATTGGGAAAAAGGGGGTTCGTTATTTGTAATTCAATATGAGAATGGTCAACTAGTTTAGCCAAGCAGTCTGGTAGGCACTGGACACTCAAAACCCTGGAGCTTTTTTTGTTTGTGGTGGTAAAATATATATCATAATATTTACCATTAAGTATACAGTTCTGAGGCATAAAGTACATTCACACTGTTGTGCAACTATTTCCACCATCCATCTCCAGAACTTTTTCATCTTCCTCAACTGAAACTCTATACCTATTAAAGACTAACTCCCCATTTTCTCCTCCCTGCAGCAACTACCATTCTACCTTCTGTCTCTATGAATTTAACTATTCTAGGAACCTCATATAAGAGGAATCATATATGTCCCTTATGACTGGCTTATTTCACTTAGCATAATGTTGTCAAGGTTTATCTATGTTATAGCATGAAAACGGTCTTTAAAATATTCCAGACTTTCTAGGGCGCCTGGGTGGCTTAGTCAGTTGGGCGGCTACCTTTGGCTCAGATCGTGATCCTGGAGTGCCAAGATGGAGCCCCAAGTCAGGCTCCCTGCTCAGTAGGGAGCCTGCTTCTCCCTCTGCTCCTCACCTCGCTTGCTCTCTCTCACTCTCTCTCGCTCTCTCAAATAAATAAAATCTTAAAAAAAAAAAATAAAACATTACAGTCTTTCTATTTTATTTTTTAAAGATTTTATTTATTTGACAGAGAGAGAGACACAGAGAGAGAGGGAACACAACCAGGGGGAGTGGGAGAGGGAGAAGCAGGCTTCCCGCCAAGCAGGGAGCCCGATATGGGGCTCGATCCCAGGACCCTGGGATTATGACCTGAGCCGAAGGCAGTCCCTTAACGACTGAGCCACCCAGGCGCCCCAAGACTGTCTACTTTAGATAAAGATGATCACAAACAATAAGTCTGACCACCACTTATTAGCTTTTCAAGATAAAATCCAAAAACTCACTGCAGGATTTTTTCTTCCCTCAAGTGCCATTGGGATTTCCAAATTGATTTGTAATCTGGAACAACTATTTCTGAATAGATCCTTCAGATGAAGCAACCTGCTTCCCTGAAAATAAATTCCAGCATGTCCATTAAGAAGTAAAATGACTCAGTAAAAAAGACAAAGTGGTATCAATGTTTGAATAAAGAAATTAATGCTTAGAACAAGATACTGATCTGCTTTGGTATCGCCAAACATATTTTCTTGCAGGAGAATAAGTGTGCATCTGTCTGGTCTTTATAATACATCTATAAATGTTTCTTATTCCAAAGTAGTATGTTTTTAAAAATTGCAAATAAATTTATATTATCCACATGGATTTTTTTTTTTTTTACCCAGCAAATCATATCTTATTCCAAATGTCATTGGAAGACCAATGTGAATAATGTTACTACAAACAATTAGAAAAGATCACCTCCTCCTCCACTGGGAATGTCCTTAGCTGCTGCACCCACCCCCTCCGCTAGGACCCCCTCCACTAGGACCCCCAGGCCGTTCCTCATCTCCCAGACTTTACCCCATAAGGTTCTGTACACTGTATTTTCTGACCCTCATCTCTCTCCCCTCTTCATCTCCTGACTTTTTCCATTGTACCCTTTGCATCTCAAGGTTAGCAAATCTCTGTATCTTCAATCTCTTCTGTGAATGAACCCCTTGCCTTCTTGCTCTAAGTGAAATCTGGTAGTCCCTGACTACCTCTGCAGTATCCTCTGCAGCCCTAGCAACTGGGGCTGTTTTTCCCCTCACTCCCCATCTACCACTGGGGCTTGAAAGTTGTAGCCCATTATTTCCACTTATGCCTTAAAGACTGTGGTTCCTAGCAACCTTTATTCTCTCCAATACCATTCTTGCCATAAGTCTTGGTAATTTCAGAAACTATATAAATAATGGTTATAACATATTGCCTTCCCTGTTACTTGACCTCCTCTTCTCTTATCTTGAATTCCACCCTACCTCAGCCTCTCATTACCATGGTTATACTCTTGACTTTGTCATTACCAACAACTGTCAATCTTCTATAATCTTAATTCCAAATATCTCATTCTCCAATCACTATCTCTTATCTTTCCAGTTCACTCACTATAGTTACTCCAACTCTAACAATCCTTCAGTTTATCAGGACATTTAATCTACTGATCCTACCTGCATTTAATTTCCATCACCTTCCTCACATCCTCACTTCCCTCCTAATCCTGCCTAGTTTAAATTCCTTGGTCAATTTTTATAATCATTCCATTGGCCCTCTATCACTTGTATTAACACTAATTTGATTAAGCCACAGCCCTGGTTAAATGCAATTCACCATCTATTTTCTGCCTACATTGGCACACGTCTTGGGAGGAAGAAAACATACACAACTCTGTTCACTAAAGTTAACTTCATATTTTTTTTTAAAGATTTTATTTATTTATTTGACAGAGAGAGACACAGCGAGAGAGGGAACACAAGCAGGGGGAGTGGGAGAGGGAGAAGCAGGCTTCCCACAGAGCAGGGAGCCCAATGCGGGGCTCAATCCCAGGACCCTGAGATCATGACCTGAGCCAAAGGCAGACGCTTAACAACTGAGCCACCCAGGCACCCCAATCTTTAAACTTATGATCATTATTTTCATGTAGGCCTAAAATGCAACATGACAATTATTCTGTATTTGCCAAGACTATTTACGTTCCTACACTATTTCATGCTTTCTGTGCTCCTAACCTCACAAGTTATTTTGTCATCTAGTGATTTTGCTTATTTGTCTAAATAAAATCAATCACCCAAAAGAGAACTTTCACAAGCTCCCACATTTACCTGCCAAACTGCATCTGTGCACATACACTGTAACTTCTGCCCTATTACCATGGGTACCAGTCCCTCTCCAACCCTCCACAGATACATCAGATTCTATCCCCTCACCAAACAAATGACATCACTCTGGTTATTTCCGTCTGCTTCCTCCCGCATTATCAGATTTTTCCCTGTCTTCAGGATTATTCCTATTAGCATCTGCTCCTTTTGTCTTGCCTAAAAAAACAAATTAAAAAAATAACAAAAAAACCTTTCTTTATTCCATCTAACACACCAGCTACCAATCCATCTCTCTACTTCCCTTCCCAACAAAGCTTCTAGAAAGAGCTATTTATATTTGCTTTCTCTCATCTTTCCTCTCATTCTTTTGAACCCATACCAATCGGATTTTCATTCCCACCATAACACCACAACTGCTGTTCTTAACAAAGTCACCAATGACCTCCACCATCTTCCTTGATATGTTAGAAGAATGTGACCCAGTTGATCACTTTCTCCCCTCTTTTAAACACTTGGCTTCCAGACACTACTCACTGAGTTTTGGTGGAGTTTTGTTTTGTTTTTTTTCCCCCCATTATTCTGGCAGCTTATTCTCAGTATCTAAACTTTGTGGTGACCTAGGCTCAAGTCTTGGGCCTCTTTTCTTTTGCATCTCCATGCATTCCCAAGGTCACTTCATCTAATCTCGTAAATGCAAATACCATCTATATTTTTATATTCACTCACCCTCTCCCCTGAAATTTGTTTCTCCTGAAGTCTTTTCCCAGTTCAGTTAATGGCAACTCTATCCTTTCTGCAAAGGTCAAAATTTTGGAGTCACTCTTCACTTCTCTTTTTCTTATGCCTCACAACTAGTCCAACAGCAAATCTTTTCTGGTTCTACCTGGAAATCAATTCTCACTACTCCCACTTCCACTGCCTTAATTTAAGCCACCGTCTCTCACCAGGATTGATGTAACTACCACCTAGCTGGTCTCCTGCTTTGGGATCTATCCCTTCTTCCATCTATTCTCAACACAGTAGTCAGAATGAGTCTATGAAATATCATAGTCATATGAAAACATATGAAAAAATTGTATCAGGTAACTCTTCCCATCAATGACTTCCCATCTTACTCCCTGGAAAAAGTCTTTCCTAGGATCTAGAAAACCCAACAAGATCTGTTCCTATCACAACCTTCCGACCTCTTCTATTACTCTCCCCTTTGATCACTTCATTTCAGCCACCCTGGCCTCCTGCTAGTACTTGAAACATACCAGGTCTTGCTTCAGAGCCTTGGCACTTGCTGTTCCCTCTCCCTAGAATGCTCTTCCTCCAACTCATTCTCTCATCTTCTTCAGGTCTTAACCAAAGTCATCCAACTCATTCTCTCATCTTCTTCAGGTCTTAACCAAAGTCATCCAACTCATTCTCTCATCTTCTTCAGGTCTTAACCAAAGTCA